CATCTATATATCATCTAAGATCATCTATATATCATCTAAGATCATCTATATATCATCTAAGATCATCTATATATCATCTAAGATCATCTATGTATCATCTAAGATCATCTATATATCATCTAAGATCATCTATATATCATCTAAGATCATCTATATATCATCTAAGATCATCTATATATCATCTAAGATCATCTATATATCATCTAAGATCATCTATATATCATCTAAGATCATCTATGTATCATCTAAGATCATCTATATATCATCTAAGATCATCTATATATCATCTAAGATCATCTATATATCATCTAAGATCATCTATATATATCATCTAAGATCATCTATATATCATCTAAGATCATCTATATATCATCTAAGATCATCTATATATCATCTAAGATCATCTATATATCATCTAAGATCATCTATATATCATCTAAGATCATCTATATATTATCATCTAAGATCATCTATATATCATCTAAGATCATCTATATATTATCATCTAATAGCATCTAGTAACATCTTATAACATCTAATATTGTCATCTAATAGCATCTCGACTCATATCATCTAATATCTATGTACAATTATGTACATGTGTTGATATTACTGTCACCAAAATTGGGATACTACTGTACCTCTAGATAGAGTTACTCTTGGGTCCTACCATCCAAAACTAGCCAGCACTATCCGAATTTGTGATCAAATCCTCTGATTCTGGGCTTGCATGGTCAAAATCACAGCAACCCAACACTCGTTGGTACCTATACCAACAGTCTCCCAAAGGCAAACCAATAATATCCCATTACATACAATATTTGTAGTATCCCCACAGAATGCTTGGTGTATTATAACCAAAAAAAATGCCATTCACATCTCCCCAGTCAATTCCCAGTCAAAATGCTTGGTGAAGCAACTAGTCATCATACTGAAACATGCTAAACATATTGATATATTACCCTCTGGTAAATTAACATAGACCCTGGCAGATAGGGGTTGGAAGACTAGTTTCCATTAAAAATGGGTGATTTTCAGGGTCTATGTTTATTTACCAGAGGGTAGATTATAGATAACCCGCTGTCTTGGTTTACAATCCCAGCACCTAATAGGCCTAACCAACCACTGATCGAAATGCCACTCAATCCCCACACAAAATCCCCATCATGGTGATTTTGCAAGCCCCAAAACTCAGAAAATATCAGGAATCTGACACCACACCTCCAAGTTCGCCAAGTTCGGAGTGTTCAAAATCCTGTGTCATTCCACTACTTTTTGGCAACGGGATTTCCATCTCATGAAGATCATGTCGAACATATACCCTCTGGATCCCTCTGGTAAATTAACATAGACCCTGGCAGATAGGGGTTGGAAGATTAGTTTCCATTGAAACTAGGCTATTTTCAGGGTCTATGTTAATTTACCAGGGGGTATTGTATAGAGAGTGAGTAGTATAACCCCTGAACTAATCATCAACATGGTGTCGAACGCAGCTCAGCCAAGGCCCTTTAACTTCATTTGATCACATTAAATATCCCATGAAAAATCCATTGATATCCAAAAAAAAGGCAAGGCGCTGTATAGTTGCATTATTGGTTATTTATATCGGGGCCCCATAAAATATCAATAACCATTTTATATATGTAACCATGTTATATCTATGACCATGTCATATCTATAAGCATGTTATATCTATAACTTATAACATTCTATAACACATGTGTATCTGGTATATTCATCTGCCACAAGCCATTCACGGCGCATGAATACATATTAATACGCTCATCGGGTCCCATGAAATATCAAGTATCAAAAACAAACACATCAAATACCCTCTGGTAATTTAACGTAGCTATTGAAAATGGCCATTTATAGTGGATTTTCCCATTGAAAATGGTGATTTTCCATAGTTATGTTAGTTTACCAGAGGGTAATAGATGTTGATAGTTTATAACCCCATCAATCACCACATGGAGGCTTCTTAAAATAGGGCTACCCCAAATCATCCAAGCCATCGATGACCTAACGAAAGTATTGAAACCAATGGGTTTTGGGGCCATGACTTAGGAACCCTCCAAGATGAAATCCATTAAAGATCCCATTCATCAATATTAATCACCATCATTTATAGTTATAGTCCAAAAAAAAAAGTAAAAAAAATCCTCACCACATCTCCCCGCCAAGGCACTGTAGAAAAAGATCTTTTTTCTCCGTCCATGGCCCTCTCCCAGCAAGAGCAGCGGCAGTTGATCCACTCCATCGACCACTCGATCTTCGGGAATAGCGTCCAGTGCGCCACCCAGCCGCGCTGCGGTGGTGTAGAGATCCTTGACGAAAAAATGGTGGGTGAAATGTGATGAAGTGGAAAAAACGGTGGGTAAAATCGAGTGACATTTGCAAAAGAAAATATGAACATGTGGAAAAAATCATGTGAGCTATGGCAAAGACTTGTGAACATTTGGAAAAAAAACGTAGAACAACTGTGTGGAATATGCCTAGAAATGCGAAGCACGATCAAACACATCTGATGTTTCTCCCCGTTTTTTGGCTCAAACCCCCAAGTGTTTCAGCTGTTCCCCCATGATTTTCAGGTACCGAAAAGCCTCCAAGGCACCGTGATGTGCAGCAAATCCACTGGCTCCTGGTTGGCCAAAATCATTCCAGGCCACCACGCCATGCTTGGCGTCCGCACTCCGCCCTCCAGCACCTGGCCCTTGCCGCCACGGAGCCAGGAATAGCCCGAGTTGGGGTAGAAGGCGTACATGGGCCCGTTGTCACCTGGACCAAAACCAGGACCTTCCATGGTGAAATCCCATTGAAAGTTGGGATGCCAACAGCATGGTGCAATGGTGCAGGAAGAAGCCCTAGTTGATGTCACAGTAGTATCTCTGGATTCATGAACTTTGGGATATAAGATTATATAAGCCCTATAACTACCAGCATGGATGTGTTTCTCCACTAAAAAAAGAGTGTTCCAAAGCCAAGCCAATGGACTGTGAGAATCCCCAATTTTGTTTGGTCAGTATACTCCCCTATAATTAATCAACGAACGAGTGGTTTTGAACACTTCTCACCAGCAACCCACCTTAGATCCTTAGGAATTCTTAGGGGTGTCTTTATCAAAAACCCTCAACCAGTGGACCATGGCCCAAGAAATCTCGCCAGAGTGACTCATCCAGACTACCAGGGTGTTCTCTGCAATCTGTTCCTCTTTCAGAGTGTCCAAGAGCCGTGTAACATATGAACTGTGAGCCGCCATCATGCTGGCCTGGGCGTTCAGATGGTCCACGTGAGGATCGTTGAAGTGGGAGGATACGCCTTGCAGTTGCTGACAATAGGTGGCCCAGTAGATGAAGAAGGGCTTTGGATCCTAAGGCCAGGCCAGGTCCACAAATCAATGGATGATCCATCTTTGAATGGTGAAACTCTAAATCTCAACATTTGGAACTCACAAACAGTTTGAAGTCGCTCGGACACACCAAGAGATGTCATGGCAATCAGGGTTTCGAGGGTTTCAAGTTGAGCCCCTGAACAAGCGATCACAAAGAAACCATTTTATGACAGCAATATATATATATAATATATCACAATATATATTATAATATGTATATATATATATAGTGTTATATATAATATATAATGTTTATAATATATAGTATAATAAAATAAATGTTAATATAATATAGTATAATATAATAAAATATAATACATTATAGTATAGTATAATATAATATAATACAATATAATATTATATATAATAATAATAATAATAATAATATATAATGTATAATAATATATATATAGTTAGTATATTTATATGATAATAATATGTGTATATACATATACTGTAATAATCAATATCGTATATATATAATAAAATTTGAAATAATATAATATATAGATAATCTTACATATATATATATATATATATATTATACTAGTATATACCATATTATATATATTATATTATTACATATTATATTAAATTATATCATTGTTTATTAAATTATATTAAATTATTTTAAATATATAATATTATAAATAAAATATTATATATATATATTATGTTACTATATATTATATCAAATATATTATGTTACTATATTCTATATTATATATATTACATTATTATATTAAATATATATATATGTTATTATACATAATATATATATACGTATATATAGTATACACATTCTTATATATACATATATATACATATATATATATTATGTTATATGTATTATTGTATATATATATATATATTAAATATTATATATCATTGTATATAATAATATATATATATAGGCAGAATGATTTCCAGCACATGGATGAACAAAAATTGTTAGGAACATCTTGAGATTTTTCTGAGATTTTGGGCATATTTGGATCCCTGGCCTTGGCTTTTTCCTTCACATACTTCAGGATCTGAGCGATGGACTCCTCCTCAAAGACTTCCTCACGAAACGCCATGACTGGCAGATTCACTGGCAGATGATTCAACTCATGGTGACTGGCAGATACATTACATATCGCTGAATGATCTGGGGAAGCGATATGTATGGCGCCTATGATATTCATAATTCAGGTATTCTATGGTATTCTGTATTCTGTTGTGACAATTGAAACTTGTCCTAAAGCTTGTCCAATGCCTACTTCCAAGAAATGCTAAAGAAATGCTAAAGAAATCTGGCTAACACAATAACAAAAGAACAAACAAAGTCCAACAATTCTTGCGACTCCAAGATCAATAATGTCCTGGTATGTCCTGGTATAGTCTCATTGAGTCAATCCCTGGCACATTTACCTGTCTCAGTGAATATGGAAGCAAAAAAATGTGCCGGGAACTCAAATTTCCATCAAACCATTTCAATTTCGAGGAATGGCTACTTTTTTTGTACTTTAAAATACTTTCCCACACCACACTGGGGAGATTTTACCAGGAAGTCAATCCACCATTTCCGATCTAAAATTTGGATCATGTCGGATCTTCACGATTTTCTCAATTCGAAATCTCCGGAAAAGTCCACTGCCGTCGGCCCGGTCGAAGTCAAAAAAAAACGGGCCGGTCCTGTCTCTTGGGGCCGGGCCGTCCCGCCAGCCCTTCGATGGCTTTCCGTTCCTGGCCCTTTCGCGCCACGTAGGCGCTGACGGACAGATCGATGCCTGTAGCTTCCTTGTAGCCTGCTGAAAAATGGTGAAACGACGTTGGCAAAGGGGAACGAATCCCACAAGAAACCTCGAGAAAACTGGGGGGAAAACTGGATGTGTTTTTTTTCGGAAAAGTCTTGCTGGAATCAATTGTCGCATCATGAAGGTCGTACAAGTAGAGGTTGCAAATTGTTGCAAGCCATCAAATGTTCCTCAAGGTAGGAAAGGGATAAAGAAAATTCAAACCACCCATTACGCTTTCGCCATCAGCCTGCCCTTGACAGCCTTGACTCATCTTAACTCAACTGAACGCAGCCATGCATTCCCACCTTCGATCCCAGGAAAGTCCAAGAATTGAGAGCGGTGCGAATTGGGTGTTTCCGCCTCAGCACTCAAAATTTCCATGGTTTCAGATCATCTTTTCCTCCAAAGGCCATAAATAAAGGGGTCGAAACCGAGAAACCGTTTAGTTACCCTGTCTCGATCTTGGGTCGTCAGGTCATAACAAAAAACTACAAAAAAAAGTAACAAAATTGATACTGGACAGGACCCTTTTCGCACAGCAAAGACGCTTGGACTTGATGGGTCGGTGACTCGTGTTTCTGATAAGATGTGGTACAAGTATAGCATTATGCCCGCAATTTATGGCCATCAAATAGTAGGAGCATTCTCTTCCAAAGCATCAAATTAGGGATCAATTTCCACAAGTTTTCAAGCGTTTTCTGGTAATCAAACATGGTTTGATAGACAATGCCCCTTTTGTTCGATTCTTTCACCATTAAAATCTCCATTTATAATTAAGGGATTTTCATGCCAGAGAGAAACTAATGTGGTGGGCACTAAACGTGGCTGCGCCGTTTCCGGGAAAATTTTTGAAAAATCGGCAAACTCCGGGAAAAATCGGCAAACTCCGGGAAACGCCTGGAAAACCCGGGAAAAAACTCTGGAACGGCTTGGAACATGTATCACGCAGTTATTTGAAGATGTTCGTGGATTTCGGAGCATTTTAAAGCATGCATATATTTTGTTCTAGGCAATCTGTGGTGATCGTGCGGACTAGCCGGGGGGGGCAATCTTTCTCTTGGCAGATGACCCATTGTATCCCATCTTACAATAATTGCGGTATTTAGTCGTTTGAATCATCCCCCCTGCTCGCCAATAGCACATCTCGGCACACACGTTTTTTTTCAGTTTGTTCGCTGTGCAAGCTCATAGTGGGTTCCGTTCCATAGGAGAAACACCTCTTTGCCATCGGGTGGGCCGAAGCGCCCAGCGCACACTAAGCTGCGGCTTTCCGAAAGAGCCCAGATTGAGATCCTGAGAACAAATGTGTGGTGTTGGCATCCTGCTTCAAACAAGATGATGTATTGATGGTGTTGGTTGCAACAATCATTTTACCTCGATTGTGGTCAGAACCACGTTTGTGCGTTGAACATGTCTTGCAGCAAGCCGCAAGAACAAAATCTACTTGGAGTTAGCTGCTGGAAAAAAACCCTGAACCGCATATGGTGGACTAGACTGGAGAGGAAAGCAACCCCAGAGGCATCAGAGGTGCCCAACTCAAGGCTAAAAAGAAGTGTAGATTGATGCATCAGGTGCCCAACTGCGGGCAGGAAACCAACTCCAGGCATCAGAGGTGTCCAACTCGAGGCATCAAGGAAACCCAACTCGAGGCATGCTAGATGCCCAACTCGAGGCATGAGAGGTGCCCAACTCGAGGCATCAAAGGTGGGTGCCCAGCTCGAGGCTTCAAAGGTGCCCAAGTCGAAGCATGAGAGGTGCCCAACTCGAAGCATCAAAGGTCCCCAACTCGAGGCATGGAGGCGCCCAACTCGAGGCATGAGAGATGCCCAACTCCAGGCATCAACGATGCCCAACTGGAGGCAGGAGAGGTGCCCAACTCGAGGTGCCGAAGTGGAAGTGGAAGCATCGAAGGTGCCCAACTGGAGAGGAAAGCAACTCCAGAGGCATCAGAGGTGCCCAACTCAAGGCTAAAAAGAAGTATAGATTGATGCATGAGGTGCCCAACTGCGGGCACGAAACCAACTCCAGGCATCAGAGGTGTCCAACTCGAGGCATCAAGGAAACCCAACTCGAGGCATGCTAGATGCCCAACTCCAGGCATGAGAGGTGCCCAACTCGAGGCATCAAACGCGCCCAACTCAAAAAATGACAGGTGACCAACTCGAGGCATGAGAGGTGCCCAACTCGAGGCATCAAAGGTGGGTGCCCAGCTCGAGGCTTCAAAGGTGCCCAAGTCGAAGCATGAGAGGTGCCCAACTCGAAGCATCAAAGGTCCCCGACTCGAGGCATGAGAGGCATGAGAGGTGCCCAACTCAATGCATGACAGGTGCTTAACTCAAAGCATGAAAGGTGCCGAACTCGAGGCATGAGAGGTGCCCACCTCAAAACATGACAGGTGCCTAGCTGAAGGCTTCAAAAGTGCCCAACTCGAGGCAGTATTAAAGGTGCCCAACTCGAAGCTGAGAGGTGCCCAACTCATAGCATGAGAGGTGCCCAACTCGAAGCATCAAAGGTGCCCAACTCCAAGCATCAAAGGTGCCCAACTCAAGGCGTGGGAGGTGCCCAACTCGAAGCATGAGAGGTGCCCAACTCATACCCAACTCGAAGCATGAGAGGTGCCCAGCTCGAGCATCAAAGGCGCCCAACTCGAAGCATCAAAGGTGCCCAACTCGAAGCATCAAAGGTGCCCAACTCGAAGCATGAGAGGTGCCCACCTCGAGCCTCAAAGGTGCCCAACTCGAAGCATCAAAGGTGCCCAACTCGAAGCATCAAAGGTGCCCAACTCGAAGCATCAAAGGTGCCCAACTCGAAGCATGAGAGGTGCCCAACTCATACCCAACTCGAAGCATGAGAGGTGCCCAACTCGAAGCATCAAAGGTGCCCAACTCGAAGCATGAGAGGTGCCCCACTCGAAGCATGAGAGGTGCCCAACTCATACCCAACTCGAGGCATGAGAGGTGCCCAACTCGAGGCATGAGAGGTGCCCAACTCGAAGCATCAAAGGTGCCCAACTTGAGGCATGAGAGGTGCCTAACTCGAGGCATGAAAGGTGCCCGACTCGAAGCATCAAAGGTGCCCAACTCGAAGCATGAGAGGTGCCCAACTCATACCCAACTCGAAGCATGAGAGGTGCCCAGCTGCAGCATCAAAGGTGCCCAACTCGAAGCATCAAAGGTGTCCAACTCGAAGCATCAAAGGTGCCCAACCCATACCCAACTCGAAGCATGAGAGGTGCCCAGCTCGAGCATCAAAGGTGCCCAACTCGAAGCATCAAAGGTGCCCAGCTCGAAGCATGAGAGGTGCCCAACCCATACCCAACTCGAAGCATGAGAGGTGCCCAGCTCGAGCATCAAAGGTGCCCAACTCGAAGCATCAAAGGTGCCCAACTCCAAGCATCAAAGGTGCCCAACTCGAAGCATGAGAGGTGCCCGACTCGAAACATCAAAGGTGCCCAACTCGAGGCATGAGAGGTGCCCAACTCGAAGCATGAGAGGTGCCCAGCTCGAGCATCAAAGGTGCCCAACTCGAAGCATCAAAGGTGTCCAACTCGAAGCATGAGAGGGTGCCCAGCTCGAGCATCAAAGGTGCCCAACTCGAAGCATCAAAGGTGCCCAACTCGAAGCATCAAAGGTGCCCAACTCGAAGCATGAGAGGTGCCCAACTCATACCCAACTCGAAGCATGAGAGGTGCCCATCTCGAGCATCAAAGGTGCCCAACTCGAAGCATCAAAGGTGCCCAACTCGAGGCATGAGAGGTGCCCAACTCATACCCAACTCGAGGCATGAGAGGTGTGCCCAGCTCAAGCATCAAAGGTGCCCAACTCGAAGCATCAAAGGTGCCCAAATCGAAGCATGAGAGGTGCCCAGCTCGAGCATCAAAGGTGCCCAACTCGAAGCATCAAAGGTGCCCAACTCGAAGCATCAAAGGTGCCCAACTCGAGCATCAAAGGTGCCCAACTCGAAGCATCAAAGGTGCCCAACTCGAGGCATGAGAGGTGCCCAACTCGAAGCATCAAAGGTGCCCAACTCGAAGCATCAAAGGGGCCCAACTCGAGGC